TAAACACTTTGCGTAAGTTTGTAAAGTTCATCAACTGTAATTTTTATAAAAGGATAATTAGTGTAAGCATATGAACGTTAGCTAAATTAAAACTAAAATATCGTAAATGTAGGTGTAATCGGATCGCACGAAAGATGGGGGGTGAAAAAGCCTAACCTCTTGTTTTTCATCTCGAGATCCGTTTATTGTGACATCCATCTACTAATCTATGATAAGATTCTGTTAAGATTGTTTTCTCGTGCGTTTTTATTCGGGGACAAACCGGTCAGCAAAACCCTATTTTAAAAAGAAGTTGCGTAAGAATAGCAGTATAGAATGTGGCAATATACATCATTGAAAGATATAATCTGGGGACTCGTACAATGTCCCATTCGTGACTCATATTCGTTAATGTGTAAAGTTTAATTTCTACCCGTAGCCAATTTGAAACTGTACTTTTACAGTTGCAAACTTCCCTGTGAATTAATAAAGTTTCTAGTTAATGTAAGTTATATTTTCTTCTGGGAGTGTGTGAGCATTTTAATGTCTTTCCATTTTCGGCTCGATGAGATCTCTTGTGCGCGATTTGTTTACAATAATTACGTACGCATAATTACAATAACATTTGTGTACGTTGTCTGCGCTATGTAGATGGTAGAATGGAGTTATATGGAACGCATGGGGTAGTGAAAACGTAGGGACTGTCAGAAATATCAGATATCGACGGGTGAAAATTTGGATCAGATTCAATACCATTTGTGAAATTGTAATAAGTTCTAATTGTAATCTACATAACCCCAACTTTAAGTAAATCAAATCGAAAATTTTAGAAACCACACATTGTTTTAGAGGTAATATGGAACGTACACGTACATACAAAAGAAGACTAAAAAGACCGTTGGGGAAAAACTGTCAATCTGTTTAAATTAGAATCACTGGAAGCAGGAACAGATGGATATAAATGATCCAAAACAATTTAAATCGTGAAAGTACATTATAATCCAGGCATCCGAGACTGAACATCTTTGAATAGACACAAGAATTCCTATTGACGTTTTTTTTTAATCCTTCGTATAGAGAAATACATATTAAAAATGCACACCTGAATTCGATCGGTAACATATTCCTACAAACTCTTATATACACAAAAATACATTACTACACATTCACAAAACATGAGGAGGTTCATATGTACAATACAAGGAATAAAAGTAATATACAAGTTAATTTTCACAGACTCAATAAAACGAAAGATGGCACTACCTTTTACGGTATGAAGCTCTATGGAACGCCGTTGTATCTTTTAATAACTGAACACCCGGACTAAAAAAATTAACTATAATTGACGCAATGGTACTAAAATTTATAGGAATTTACTTTGTGTTAACAACAATTGCCTAGTTGAAATTAATAATTGCATATCTTCCAATAACAACTCGCAATAATTTCCCCTTTTACAATTTCAAATAACGGTTTTTGTGCGAAATTTCAAAAACCGTTATTGAAATGGCATATTTAACAATTTCAAATCGGCAGTCTTATTCATATATCACGATTTAGAAATAACGTGTTGAAAATTTTAATGTTCAAAAATTATCGATTTGATATTATTAAATAATCTTTAATATCACCTTCACGCTTTGTAATAATTTTCAATTTCAAGTTGAAATAAAAAATTCAATTCTCTATTTAAAACTCGTAACTTTGGAACGCACAATTTAATTTTTAATATCAACTCTGTGATATTGGTAATTCGATTTACTTATATGTCATGACATATAAAAAATTGTGGCATCATCTATCGCATCCACAAGTATTAACTCTTGTAATGTTGTACAGTGTGATGCAGTCTTTTGCTTTTGGTTTGGCGCCTTTTCAGTTGTTAGTTGAGGTTAATTCCGAAAAACCTAAAACAGAGTCATTTAATCGATATCCGGTTCGGTGAGTTGTTGGTGTTTTGTTAATTGTTTTTGGTATTCAAAGGCATCTAATTGCCCATCTAAAGTAAGTATGTACCTACATGAAAAATATTAATAATAGGACACAGGCATCAACTGTTGTAATTTAGCATTTACCTAATAAATAGATCTGTAGTGCCTTTATTAGGTAATTGGTAGCTATCCATCTTATAACGACTCAAAACGGGGTGATATTGACTAAGTGGATTGATAAAGACACTAAACCTTCCCCATACTTTTAATTATTTCAGGTATTAGAATAAAGGCATTAGGTGACAGCGACTATAGTTTCGACCCGAACGTCATTATCAAGCTTAAGTTTAAGAGAACATATAAAGGTGGTTGAAAATTACATTTTAAAATGGTACATTTGGTTATCAATATGGGGAAAAAATTACTAATAGAACATGGGAAACAATAACAATATTAACAATTTAAAAAACTTTTTGTCCTCACATATTGTAAAACAATTGATTAAATTAAAGAAATTAGAGGAGACGAGATGGACACAGCCATCATTTTTTTGTGGGATAGATATAAAAATTAAAAATATCACACAGTAATCATAGATTGACCAAGTACAACTAAATATATCAACAAAAATTTGCAACGTGGGATGCGCGCACACCCCAACCGGTGCTAGGAAGGTTAAACGTTTTAAGTCAATTTACTTATTTGTAATATGTTTGTAATATTGGTAGGAGTAAGAGTGCCACAACGAACTGCGGATTCACGTCAGCCTAGGTGAGTCCACCATGTAGAAACTGAAATTAATCGACTGACTAATACTCCAGTTCCAACCCCAGTTACTATAAATCGTCTACTCCCACAAAGGGTGACTGAAATTATCGAACCATGGACAGATGACTCCTTTAGAGATACTTCAGCAACAGAGAATGACCCTTTAGAGGACTGTGAGCCCAACATTTCATTAGGAACGATTTTTTTTCATATTGGTTTTATTGGAATGTTGAAGTTGTAAGCGTATACAATTTCCTGAATTGAAGAGTTTCCTCTATTTAATCTTTACCATTGCAATAAGCATTAAGCAATAATCATGGCATAAGTGCTTACAATTTGTTTGTAAATATTCACAGGAGTAAGAAGACCACAAAGAACTGTGAATTCGTCTCAATCTAGACGAGTCCACCAAGTTCAAACTCAAATCAATCTGCCGACTAATACAGTCCCCACTCCAGTAACATTACATAGTCTATTCACACAAGAAGAAACTGAAGTTATGGAGCCATTGACCATGGATGAATATTCCTTTAGAGATAGTGCGGTAACAGAAGATTACCGCCTAGATGACTTCGTCTCTGACACTCCATTAGATGTGGAATTTTTCATTATTATTAATTATATTGTGTGTATTAAAAATCAAAAATGTGAAAGATTTTCTATGTTAAGCAGTTTCCTCTACCATCCTTGCTTAAAATGCGTTTGATGAGCAGACATTGTATAAAAATTTGATCTCTCTTCAGACCTATATTTAATAAAAATTCCATTTAAAGGTACACAAGTACGTATTTGCTGGAAGATATTTTATAGCATTTGATCCAATACACTACACAATTTTCAACACAAGTATTTGCTTGCATGTCAGTATCTAGAAGCAACGTTATACAATCACTTTTTGAAATATACCAAAATTCTGAAGTGGTAAACACAATCCCTTCTGTTATTTACATTGGAGAGGAAGGTGTTGATGCAGGTGGACTAACGATGGAAATGTACACAGTATTTTGGAAAGCGCTATTGTCAAATTCGATCCTCTTTAGAGGGCATGATTGTGTTGTACCCAATCCCCCTTTACATCTATTGAAAAAGAAGCAGCATCTCTACGTTCTAATTGGAAGAATTCTAGGACACATGATTGTAGTTACAAAACAGTTCCCCATGAAACTTTGTTCATATGCATACATAGCCCTATCTAATAATGATAGTAAACATTACAGGGAAAAACAATTACTTAAAGACTATTTGTTATACGTTACACCACCGGAACGACAATTAGTAAAGAAAACACCACAATTTTAGAATTTTATCCGCATTTGAAAAAGACAGGTTAAGTTCGTTGTTCATGGCAAACAATTTTATGGACATACCAAGAGAAGAAGAAGTGCAGGAGCAAATCAGTGCAATAGCTGAAAAATGTATACTTTCAGACCCTAAACTATTGTTTGATGAAATGAAGAAAGGATTACATGAAGCGGTAATATCATTTTTTGATAGACTATCAATCACAGATGTTTTAAATGTGGTGCAACGAATGAAGGCGACACCTGAAAAAGTAATGTCTCGATTAAGAATGGATACAGACTACGCGACCAACAATGAAGAGAAGGTTTTTTTTATTTACAAAACTATGTTGGTTCACTTCATGAACAAAACTTTTCTGCTCTTTGTTACTGCATCAACAAGTTGGCCTGATTATAAAACGGTGACGTTCCATAATCACCAAGGACTGGGACGCCGACCAATTGCTCATACCTGCGCAAATGCTATAGAAATCGGTAACAATTATGATTCTCAGCAAGATTTCAACGACGAAATGGACTCGTATTTAAAACACGAATCAACCTATGAGTATAGCCAAGTGTAATATTCACAAGTCGTCGGTTTGGTGCAAAACTATCCTAAGTCACAAATGAACAATTTGGAGAAAATATCAATTAAAGATTTAAAATTGCAATTACTTGCATATAAGTTCCCGTATTTACTCAAAACGTAATTATTATATTGTTTGTAATATAGGTTACTGTAGATTCTTTTATTTATTTTATTAATTGTAGTAATTCAGAAATTGTGGACATAGGATATTAGTTTTCCACGAAATATACTCATAATGTATCCTATGTCCTAATGGTCTAATGAGGATGTAATCATAAATTATGCTTTATGCAGAAAGTTAAACACAGTAATAATAGCAATCATCTGCAAAAGTCATAAATATGGCGTTCCACAACGTCAGTCATCATAAAAATCAATATATTTATAAATTAATTTTTTTATTCGCACAAAATGTAACAAACATAATAAACTAAAATTATACACCAGAAATAAAAACGTAATTTTTTGTAAGCAGATCTTAAAAACTAATATTATACTGTTTCGTGTGGTAAGTTAATGAAGAACTCTTGATATTCTTTTAGTATTGAATTGTGATTACAAAGATAAACTAAAGAATCATACTTTTGTTTCTTCAGGGGAATCGCATCTTTGCGTAGCTGCAGTAGTTCATATTCTGATAGCTTGTTTAACTTCTTTCTCGCACGATCGGCAATATTAATAACTCCTTCATATTCATTTAACTTGTAAGTTACTCTAATTTCTTCCGGATGATGAACATCTACTGACACGCATGATACCTCTGACCATTTAATTTGAGTTCCCAGTACATCTTTATCTATATTTTTGGTAGTTTTTGAGAGCAAGTTTTTTAGATCAAAGAAATCTTTCTGCTCCATTTCTTTTACTATATAGGGTTTTTTGATGCAAGCTACTCTCGCAATTGTATACCATTGTGCAGGAGTGTAAACTGGTATCCGTCTGGCACATCTTTCAATGACGCTGTGCATTGAATCGCCTTCGTTTTGTGTATGCCCTACCTCCATAAAACGTAAAGTAATTTTCAAGTTATAAGTAACCGCAGCATACAATAAGAGGACGTATAAAAACTTGTTTTTATTTTGTCCTGCACAGTTATCAGCGTAGAATGAAAATTCTGTGCAATTATCCTCCAGCGCCTTTCTTTTAAGAAAAGCAAGGATGCAGCTCCCTATTTCACATGACCCACGTGCAGCAATCACTTCGTGCCACATAAAACAATATCCCTGTTTCTTACCGATATCGAATACTGTTAAATTAAAAGTTGATAGCTTTGACTTATAATATGCCGGGCCTACTTCAATTTTTGGACATGGTAACACTTGTTGCAAATCAAAAACACAAACGCAAAAATTAGGATCGGAATTGGCCCGTTGTTTATCTAGCTCTTTTTGTGTCCTTATAACATCCTTATTTTGTAAGTGTTTAGTTACTTTCGCTTCTAGTACTTCCTTCTCTTTGCCAACACAATGTTCAAAATTCGTACATAAATCGCACTGGTCCTTTTTGGGGATATGAAATCCTAAATTAAATTCATTTTTAAAAATAGCACGATAAGCAGACTCACGAATAGGACCTTTATTTATATTCGCGCAATACTCACAGTACATTCGATACATTTTAGAAACATTTAGTGACGAATGTAAGTATTGCTTTGCTGAATCTTTTCTGCAATAATGACTTTCAATTTTCTCAAATGAATTAATATGATCTTTTGCGATACCTTTTTGTTCATCAGTAAGGCGAATCGTACATGGGGTTTTTCCTCTTTGATCTTTACTGATCACAATATTATTGTTCTCCACTCCAGAAAGTCGGTTTGCGACCGTTTTTACTACTTGATGGCTTATGTCTAGGGTATTAAGAAAGAACGTTTGACATACCTTTTCTCGCTTGTTTTCTGCTGAAACGAAGTGGTAGAAGTATGTCATTCTTCGACGGCTGCTTAAATCTGAAGTATTTGATATTTCAGGTTCTCCTTTGTCTAAATCCTTAGACGATGGTGTCGAATTTCTGACACGTACGCGCTTCTTTTCTTTAAAATCTACGAAACGTGCAATAAAATCCCTTTGTCGATCAACATCACCTGTTTTCCAAAACTGTGCAAAAATTTTTTCACGCATGTTTTCACAAATCTTCTGTGGGCATTTCAGTCGACAGTTTTCTGAACAACTCTTCTTTAATTTTCTTTCACGAACTACCTTGTTTCTTATGTTTACGTAAGATTTCCCACTATTTCTTAGAGTTTTCGCTACATTCCGTTTCCAAATATTTTCATTTCTCTTCCTTTTTGTACTTGACTTTTTTACTTCCTCAATGTCAGATTTTTGAGGGCTATTACTGTTATGGTTTTGTGCAACTTCTATAGAATCCGATTCCTTTTCCATCGTAACTATATCTTCGGGAACATAATCCGAATCACTGTCCGTAGCATATGGGTCTTCATCTGATTTAGATGAATCATTATTCAATCCTAGAAAAGGTGTAATAATGAAAACTAAATAAAAAACGTAAGTAATTATTACCTTCTTCATTATTTTCGGAGTTATCGTTATTGTACTCCCAACCATCAAATACATTCTTCAACTCTGTTAGAGTATTGCTATTAGGAAACTCACAATTGCCACTTGTTTTAGTTTCGTGCGGTACATAAAACGGCATTAAATGGAATTCATTCGTTAACTCGGTTTGGTTATTTCCTTGTGAAATAAATGATTTATAATACTGTTTAAACAAACTCACTAATTAATTACCTTCAATTTCACTATTAGATTTTGTTGTGCTTGTATTTCTATTTGTGCTGGAACCAAGTGTACCAGCATTATCTTGCAGCAAACCCAATATTTTTCGCGCTCTTTCGCCCATTTTAACGTAGAAACAACAAAATAACAATCTGCTATGCAGGCACTTCCTCGAAAAGTGATTTTTAACGCGTGACACGTGTTTGCATCGTGCAACACGCGCAAACTCAAAAATACTACCATAGAAACATAGCCTATGTCCCGTATAGAGACCAAGGTGAATTTGTATATTTCAGTATCGTTCTATCCTAAGTCCCTTTAATGGACATAGAATAGTTTTCAATACAAATAAAAGTACGTAGTTAGTTAGGATAGAATGCGTCTTATCGAATTAAAACACTGTAAAATTGAAAAAGTTAACATAGGATAGTGTTGCACTGTAGTTCGCGTTCTAATTATAGCGGCTGTATCATTAAGTCAATTTGCGACAAAAATGGACTTAGGATAGTTTTGCACCAAACCAACGAAGTAACTTTTATCTGTGTATCAATAATGTTTGAGTATACTTTTTTCATGTTATATTTTCCTACTTTAACTAACATTCTTAAATAAACTTTTCAATAGTGTTGCACATGACGATATTTCCCCTTCAATACCTACTCTATATTAGTTTTTGTAATTTGCCAGATTTTTTCAAAGAAAATGTTTTATCCAAGATTGTGTTAACGGTTTTGATATTTCTGGTAAAAACAAAGATACTTTTAATGATTTCTATCGCTCTCGACTAAGTGTTCTAAGGGATCTGCCGTCAGATTGAAAGTGCGATTTCATAAATATTAATTCATTCAATCCCAAAATTTGGCATTTTAAATGTGATAGAATGATAGATGGTTTTATGCAAAGTGGGTGCGAACGACGCTTAAACGTTTTTCATTGAATAGAACAATGGTTATACATATTTTTATTGTTAATCCTATAATACAATAATAAACCATAAATGTTATAACATTAAATCAGTCTACAGTAGCACCAAGGCACTACTGAATCATTTCGAAACCACACTCAATGAATATAACAAATTGATAAGTACATAAAAGATTTTTTCTATTTCGGTGTCACAATGATGATTTTGTACAACTGTTTTCGGCGGAAAACCTAAAACTTAACGGCATAAAAAGTGTTCCCAACATAAAACATGTTAGTTCTATAGTTTCTGATAATGATTTTTTTAATGAATTAAAGCACCGAAATAGAAAAAATAGTATGAAAAACGCGTGTTACAATGCTTTATTGTAATACTCCTATCTTGCGGACACTCGTGGCTACGCTTCGCGTCGCCACTCGTGCCACAAGATAGTCGTATTACAATAGGTCGCATTGTAACACTTGTCTTTCAATATACTATTGAATATGCTACACATCTGCACTTTCTGTGCTAGTTAAAAACTGAACACAGGAAATATATTTATCACGGTTCGATAAGCTGCTGTGAAGAATAGTGTTCATGTAATGTTTCTGATCATCATCAAGAGTAATATTAATTGCAAATGAGGATTCAGGTACGGGGTCAGTATTTACTCTGTCCACAGCAACTCCATATGATTCAAGACTCCTATATATTAAATCGCTGATACTATTACTTCCTTCAAAAACTTTATTTATAATAGTTATTTACAAGTCAACGTATCAATAGGGCTCTAAAAAATTATTATTTGACGGTAATACCTAACAGCTCGGCTGTAAAAGACACCTGACGTAAGAAAATCCTTGGCCCTTTTCTTGAATTGTGAATACGTCGCAGCCGATTTTACAGATTCGGGAAGAGCGTTATAGTAGCTAGCAGATTTATATTCTGGTGACTTCTTGTAGAACGAGTGAGTTGGCTTATCCAGTCGCAGGCGTTCCCGGTGTCGAGTATCATAATCATGTACGTCTTTGTGGGTCATGAAGTGATGTTTGCGTCTGTTCACATACGAAACACCGTTCAAGACATAGATCGAGAAGAAAGTAAGAATTTTGTAATTTCGAAATACAACTCTACATGTTTCGTTGTATTTCAAGTTAAAAATTAGACGTAACACCCTCTTTTGTAAAATTCGTTCCCAGTTTGACGAGGAGCCCCAAACGGCAATATTATAGCATATGACAGAATGCACCATCGCGTAGTAGGCACTTAACAAAGCACTTTCACTTAATGAATTTTTCAGGACCATGATTAGATAATGCGCTTTGCTAATTTTCTTACACACCTCATCCACATGATAAGTCCAGGAGAGAGTCTCATCTACTAGCAGGCCGAGGAACTTAGAAGACCTTAAACAGGGTATATTGATGCCGTTGATTGTGAAATGGAAGTTATGCCGATTGAATATTTGACTAATTGCTTCTTTGTACACATCAACCCACAACCTTTCAATACGTTGATTATGCACCGATTTCTCAGTTATATGACTACCTCTGTTCATTCCACGGATTACATTCATAAGTAAAGCAACGAACATGTTCTCATATCCGTGGTCTGAACGAACTCTAGAAGGTAGTCCGTATTGGTTAACTGCATTCACAAAAAAATTTACAACAGGCTCTGCTTGTATTGATGTTGTACAGTCCAAATATTATCATTCTGGAGTAGCCATCTATACATCCATGGGTAACGAATCCCCAGATACAAATAGAAAATGGTCATTATAAAAATTAGTACTTAACTCACTTTTATTATTAAATAACCATTCTATGTTATCTATTGGTTGTTAAACATTTACTGAGTATCAGTTGGAAGTAAAGTTTGGTAAACTAATTTGGATCTTTATTGTCGAATTTTTGTACAATTTTAATTAAGCAGAATGCTGTATACGATACTAGGATTGGTGTACCGATGAAGTTTTAGATGCGCATCCATGGCCACAATACATTTGGTGCAAGCACTTTATAAGTTCGTCTTTTGATACTTTTGCTCCACCGTTTGGCAGCACCGACTGTATCAATGCTGGTAAGTACTGCACGAATTTTTTTCCTTTGAATAGTCAACCCCTCTGCGCGTAAATATCCATTCATCATCTAAAAGTGGAGTCATAATATAAGAATGTGATTAAAAGTAAGTGTAGGTATAATACCTCACTTCCACAATGGGGGTGTTTAGCATAAATTTCAGCAATCTTTTCTTCTAATTCAATGTCCGATATATTTGTGTATCTATTTCTTAAGTAAAACCCATTTCCATGGAGATTCTTATATACTACACTTTTTGAACATTTAAAATGATCTGCCATTTGAGTGGCACTGTATCCTTCTTTGTACAGCAGAGTCAATTGTTCAACAGTTATTTGAACGGATGGGCGGCCTTTGCCTAAGGGAGAAACCGTTATAAAAACAATAGCAACTATTCAATTGACTTATTCACCTGATGTACCTATTCTTCCGGCAGCGAAACCATTATCAAGGCTTATTCCTTGTACTGTTGTTAAATTGAGTAAAACGTCATGTATAGAGTTGAATGTTTCAGATGAAATACGATGTTCGATTCTTTGCAAGTTTTCTAGACATGCATTAATTTCTTCCAGGTTTATATTACTTCTGGATTCATAATTACGTACTTCGCTGCCTATAACACTTCTAATCCTGCGTAATATTGCCGATATATTACTCTCATTATTATCCATTATGCAAATGGAATACAGATTAAAACAATGCAAAAACAAAAGAATAAACAAATGTGAATTAGGTAAGTTAGGTTATAAACGAATTGAACAGATTGAAGTCGTTTTTACACAAGCAAATATACATCACTTTAATCTAACCACACTAGAGGGCAGGTCAATTTGCTATATGTGATTTAAAAATATCGCCTTCATATTTTTAATTCATTTACCAATGTGTGCGACTTGATATTTTTAATTCTATTGCACAAATTACTAATTTCTACTTGGGATTTAAATGCAATTATTAATTTCAACTAGGCAATTGTTGTTAACACAAAGTAAATTGCTATCAATTTTAGTACCATTGCGTCAATTATAGTTAATTTTTTTAGTCCGGGTGTACAGTTATTAAAAGATACAACGGCGTTCCATAAAGCTCTTTAATGTTTTACCAAGTACAATAAAAAACCTAAATCTCAGGTTGTCCAAAAATACCGTAAAAACTCACTTATAAAAAAAAGCCTATTATTCTTTAGAAGAGTACATCAACGATAAATTTAGCGTTCCTTAAAATACCTACGCAGTTACCAAGATCATTTCACTGATTCTGCCATAGTCATTGCCATATATTATCTACTTTGTACCTGTTGATTGTTTTTACATATGTATTGTGATATCTTTTACTGACTTGTGAAAATACGCAGCTACGTATATATCACCAATAAACATTATTATTATTGTTTAAACAAATAAAAAGTACGATTTTAGTGTTTTTCTTCTTCAAAAATATTGATTTTAGGCCAACAATAAATTGTAGAATACAAAAGTATTCCTCGTAAAATTCTTCTTACATGATATTAGATAGAATTAATATTTCTGGAGTTATAGCCGTCTAAAGAGGCGTACCGTAGTTTAGTATTGACGCACCACGCTGTAGTTCTATATGCTGTTTCCAAACATTCCTGCCACCTCCGTTCTTTGCCTCCTACTCGAGCAGCAGCACGACAGCATGCGCACAGAATTTATCTTCAAAACCAAAACTGATAAGACATCCATTTGGAACCGACCGAATGCGATGGGAGCGTACTGCCAATGGGTTACTTCCAGTACCCACTGAAAAAGAAGCTATATTTGTCATTGCCTATTACATGGGTAAAGTTATACTCATTTTGAATTTCATGCAATTCGGTGCGTAACTAACGAATATGTCAAAAAAGCCTTCCTTTGGTCTATATTGCCAATTTACGCACTCCGATCTACAAATTTGATAAAGAATCCACCTGCAAAATTTAATCGTAATCGGTCCATTCGTGGTAACGGACAGACATTGCAAAATCCTGAACTCGCTAGAAGCTCGTTAATAATGAACATTGATGATGACGATGCGAACCCACAGACGAACATACCCAGATTTACTACTTTTCTACAAGATCTATAATAATTTGTAGTATATTACATATCGAGCGCTGAAAGAGACACTTTTCAC